ATCCATACTGGATACTTAACATTCCTCACAGCTTGTTTATTAGTTCAGCCCATGCCTTATTCTCTAGAGCCTTCAGGCGGGGGCCTACATTTAGGATATTAATTTTTTTGATCTCTTACCTTATTAAATTTCAGATGCTTATATTTTTACATTTTAACACATCTGAAATTGAGATAGGTATAATGATCAACTAAGAATCTATCTTAGATTTGATGAAATATGGGTGCATTTGATCATATACAGATCTGAGGTAAAAATAAATTCATTTAAAATATTGAAGCTAAATTTTGAAAGGTTTACTTAAAAAAACTAGTATGTGATCTGCTTCCCCACCTTGAGCAGCTCAAGTACCACTGCCTCTTGACTTCATCTCAGAACTACATTCCATCTCTGAACAACTATAGTTCTTTGGTTGTACCTATCTTAGGGAAGATACTATGTGTAACACTGTATTTGTATATATTTTTATCCTTTCTAGGAGAATGTAAGGCTTTTGATGAAATTATAATTATTTTTGCATCCTGTGTTACACCCAGCATGGTAAAACATGTGGGTTCCTACTATGTATCAGGTATTCATGGGCATAAAAGCTACACAAAGATGATTCAGTCATACCCAGATGGAGCCTTGTAAGTGAAAATATACTAATTTTAGTTTTATAATAAATTGTATAGGCTATCATAGCTATACATGCCAAGTGTAAGGGAATGTACAGGAGAGAGCATTCTACCTTGGAGAATTGAGAAAGGTGACACTGGGTTTGAAGGATGAGTAGGAAGTTGGAATATGGAGCCGGATGAGACAGGGAAAATTCTAAGAGACACCAGCATAGGCAGAGGAAAAGAGACATAGAAGAGCAAAGCATGTTCAAGAACCAAGCGATATGTTATAGATAAAAAATATACGTTAGTGGTAGGGTGGGTAGGGAGAGGGAAGGTAGGATTTAAGTTTAGCTGGGATCATACATGAAGGGCCTTGTATGTCATGCTAAGGGGTCTTGATTTGACTGGGTAGGCAGTGATGAGCCACTGAAGATTTCAGGAAGACAGTTACCCATAGCAGTTGTCAGAAAGAAAACTATGTCATAATAATATGACAGATGGGTAAGAAGAGTAGGGTAGCAGACACTGTATGTTAGCTTAAACTTAACACCCATTCCAAATTCCTTACTCCTTGCCTTTCTCACTATAGACAAAAATATGATTTGCCAATCTTCCTTGAGTTAACTGTGGCTACATGACAAATTCTGGTCAAGATATAGATAGAAGTCTTTTGAGAGGGATTCTAAGAAAACATTTACTTTTCTGATAAAAGGGGGTGAGAAGTATCTGGTACAGTTTGTTCTAATGCTTCTTCCTACCCTGAATGTGTGTTCCCCAGAGGTATAGCAGCCATTTTGTGACCATGAGGTGACAAATCAAGATGCTGAAGAGCAGAATGTAAAGAGAAACTGTCTAAATCCTTGATGACACCAAGCCACTATACCAACCCTGTACTGCCTAATTCTAGACTTTAAATAGATTCTTATTTACTTAAGCTACAGTTAACTGGTTTACTAATATTTATGAGCAGAATGCATTCTTTTTTTGACATTTTTTATTGATTTATAATCATTTTACAATGTTGTGTCAGATTCCCGTGTAGAGCACAATTTTTCAGTTATACATGAACATACATATATTCATTGTCACATTTTTTTTCTCTGTGAGCTACCATAAGATCTTGTATGTATTTCCCTGTGCTATACAGTATAATCTTGTTTATCTAGCAGAATGCATTCTTAAGTGACAGAAAGCATGCTTGATGGCAGGCAGATTAACCAGAAGACTACTTTAATAATCCAAGAAAGTGATGATGAAGACTCAAATGAGAGCAAGGATTACAGAAGGTAGAATAGATCTGAGAAGCATAGAAATTAGAGTGAGATAGAGATAATTTAACTTTAGGTATATAGATATTGGGGATATCTATGGGATATAAGGTGGCTACAACTGATAAATCATTAGAAAGATAGGTGTACAGCTCTGGAGAAATATGGGAGCTGAAAATATAAACAGTAAGTATATATAAATGGTGGCTGAAGCCAGTGAAGAATGTTGAATGAAAATGAGAGAGCACAGAATGAGAAAAGACTAGAAATGCAACTTGAGGAGCCTCAGCATTTAAGGGGATCAGAGCAAGAGAAGAATGAAGAATAACAAGAGGAGCAGGAAAGACACCAAAGGGAGGAGTGAGTTTTAGGAGGGAGTGGCCAAGAGTCAGTTATTACAGGAAATTCAAGTTGGTGTCACAAGTTAGAGAAGAATTGAAATTGATGAAGTAAGAAAGTGACATTAATTACTTTTTAAAAAATTTATTTAAAAAATTTAAAATTTATTTTTATTTGTTTTAAAAAATTTTTGTTTGGGGGAAGTAATTAGGCTTATTTACTTATTTTCTAATGGAGGTACTGGAGATTGAACCCAGGACCTATGGCATGCTAGGCATGCACTCTACCACTGAGCTATATACCCTCCCCCTACTTTTTTTTTTATGAATTATGAAAATCATAGGAAGAAGAAAGACAGCCCACGAGGAAGAGGTGGGGTTAGGGAAAGGTATTTTGTTACTGTTTTTAGATAAAGAAGATCTGATGTTATTTACAGGTTTAGGAAAAGAAATGAGTGAAAAGAGAAACTAAACACTTAAATGTTAAACAGGATGGAATATGGTCCTGGAAAAGATGGGAAGGAATGAGATTGGGAACACAAATAGAAGCATTAGCTTTAGAAAAGGCGATGCCTGGCTGGAAAGAGGTAAGTCTTGAAGGTAGATGGGAAGAAGCTGGGAAAGGTTATATCTAATGACTTACTGTTTTTCACTATGTAATAGGAGACACAGTCATCTTTGGCAGGTAGAGGAGTTTGAGAATCAAAGGTGTGTAATACGTCTCCTGGAGAGCAGAATAGGAAACCACCTAGGAACGTAGGAAGGACTGCTAAGCAGCACTGGGGGGGTCCCATGTAGCATATGGTCCTCTTAAATAGTTAATGTATTTTTGGACATTTAAGAGGAGTTAACATTAATAAAACAAAGAGACAAAACCAAGCCCAAGTGTCATAAAATATGGTTATTTTATTCCAACTCTGGGAAATGAAAAACAAAATTGGGGGGAGGGAACACATCCTTCCACACACCATTCTAATTTAGCTGACATTAATTCAGAAAAGCTAAAGCAAATGTATATCTGTATATGTATACATATTTATATATACACATACATATTTTTTCAGATTTTAGTCTCATCAGTGTTCATATATTTACTTTATTTTTATTTCTTTATAAATGCCCTTAAAATCATCTAATGCATCCTAATACTTCTACCTCTGCCTCTTCATCAATCATTTAATATTGTCAGGATTGTAGTCACATTTTGTGTTTTAATCATTTATGTGATTCGTCACACCGTACATTAGAAGATGTAAGGGAAAAACTTGGTTTAAGTTATACTCTGTGCATCAGTTACCAATTACATGATTTTTTCATCATTATTTGCCACTTCACACATCTTGTAGTTCTCTCTGCAGACTAGTTCAGCTTCTAGTGCTGTACATATCTGCATCTTCTGGATGGGACTGCCCATGATCCATGAGCTTGGGGTCAGGCATAAACTGTGTAGCACCTGATAAAGTATTAAAATGAAAAAAATTAGTCATTCATTTAACAGATTTCTTGTTGATACTGGGGATACATTAGTGAACAAAACAGATAAAAATCTCTACCAACACGGACATAGCATTCAAGTTGGGTGAGAGAGAGAATAAACTGAGTAAAAAATGTATTAGAAGATGGCAAGTGCTTTGTAGAAAAATAAAACAGGGAGGAGCACATGGAGTGCTTGAGTGATGTGCAGTTTGAAATAGGGTGACCAAGGGAAGCCTTCTAGAACGGTGTTATTTGAGCAAAGAACTGAAGGCAGTGACGGTATGAGCCCTATAGATATCTGATGGAAATGCCTTATAGGAGAAGCCGATGGGAGGTATGATGTACCTGAGGCACATCGGAGGAACCACAACATGACCAATATGGCTGCAACAGAGTAGGCAAGGTGTGGTGATGGTGGGTGCAATGAGATTTGGTAGGAGACACGATCAGAAAACAATGGAAGGCTAGGCCAGACGGGGCCAGGGCAAAGATTTTCTCTTTTATTCTAAGTGAGATGAGAAGTCACTGGGTAGTTGAGGAGTGACATGATATTATGTTTTTAAAAAGATAACTCTTGGCTCTGGGGAGAAGAGACTATAGGGAAACAAGTGGGGGAGAAGAGACCATAGGGGAACAAGTGTGGAAGTATAGGGAGACCAGTTAGGAAGCTACTGCAGTATCCCCACAGACAGCTGCTGATGGCTTTAATTAGGGCAGTAGCAGTGGAGGTGGTGAAAAGGAATTGCATTCTGGATAACTTCTTAAGGTAGGATGGACAGGATTGTCTAAATGGATGGAGTATGTTGTGTGAGAGAGTCTCTTTAAC